CAGTGTTTTCTGCTCTATACAATCCAACTTTCTGCACCTTTTAGAATTCTTTGCAGAAAAGAAGTAGAGGAAGAAAATTTGGGGCGGTAAAGCATAAGATGGAGAGAGCGTTCGAACTTGCTCAGGAAGCGTTAGATAACAATGAAGTTCCTGTCGGCTGTGTTTTCATGTACCAAGGGAAAGAGGTAAAATAATAGCATACTACCTTATTCTAGCACTGCATTTAACGTTTTTGCAAAAAAATATGTGGGTACCGAGAATGTAGTGATTTTCAGTCTTTCAAATTGTTCTCCAAGTTTTTTGATCAAAATCTGAAAACACAAGTTGTGTAGTGAAGTCAGGGTGTCAACAGAATTATTTTCATTCGTCATTTTCCCCTTTTAATGGTAATTTGTAATTTTGTTTTTGATTTGTAAGTGGTAAGAAACTGCACACATCTGCTGTGCATCTTCGATCCACACCTTTCCAAAAATTTTGTTTATTGAAAGTATCGAAGTTAGACAGTCCCAGCATCCAATTTCATCATACAACCTAACATCATTCATAGATAGGATCTGGAAGAAATGAGATCAACAACACAAAAGATCCGACTGCTCATGCCGAAATGGTAGCCCTACGAAAGATGCAAGATGAGAACCCCAACATTGGAGAGGTGAATTTTCTGTATTTTGATGGGCAACATCTTGTATACTGTATTTTGTTTCATAAATATATACGAGACAAGCAAGTGTTACAATGTTCAGATTATACACGACTTGGTCCTTTATGTGACGCTTGAACCTTGCATCATGTGCGCCTGTGGATTGTACGAGCTAGGTGCGTGGGGTTCCGCTGGCATCAACCATCCTTTCGCGATACTTATTCTTAATTCTAAAATTGTGGGACTCAGCTTACGCATTGGTCCTTTTATATTTTATAAACTCTCAGCACCTTCACAGCTTGCTATCTCATTATAGAACTTCCATGTTAATTTTCTTCCAATTTTAGCTGCCATTCGATACTTTGCCACTACTCTTCCACATAATGTATATAATTAAAAAAGAAAAAATAGACGTTATATGTTTACCTCACCATCTCTTCATTTTCCTATTAGCTTTATTTATTTTTGCAGTGCATTTCTTTAAGGTATCTCCAAGATTGTCTATGCTGCAGCCAATGAGCGATTTGGGGGAATCAAAAGCGTTGGAAACCATTGCAAATATAATATAAAAACTACTGCTGTTGAAGTGGTGAGCACAAAAATCTGCTACTTGAAAGTGATATCTTTAGAACCAAAGTTATTTTATGTTGATAATCATTCAGGTCATGGACACTACAT